ACAGAATCTAGAGCTTTATTCTCTGGAGCAGGTGAACGCAGAAGGCTGTGGGATACAAGCTGAGAGCAGGGGCACTGCCCTGCGAAAAATGACCTCCAAGCCTTCTTCCTCCACTTGCTATCCAGAGTGCTCGGAGCTGCTTATACCCTCTCGGCATGAGATTGGAAGAACCATCTCTAGGAATTCTAACCGGCCCCAGAGAAATGACCTGAATATAATAATATTGGGGATTCTAGTGAAGAGCCTCACCCACACTTCCCTAATTGAAGTGCACGGTTGGTGAGCCCACCCACTGCATGGTACCCACAATCCCACTCAGCTTCCCAGTGCCCTACCATTAAATATTAGCAGGTATCCAAATCTCACTAGAACTGTGAAGAAAGTTGCAGCATTTACTCTAATGTAGAAGACAGAGGAATAAAGCAATTAGAGACTAAGAGAAAAGAAAAAGAACTAAAAGAGTATTATTATTCCCAGAGAAATAAGGAATAAACAGGACTCTATAAAAAAGAACATCCAGAGAACAAAAAACCTTTTTATAAGTTAAAAAAAGATATCTGAAATGAAAAACACAATAGGAAGGCTAAATGATAAATGTGAGGAAATTTCTCAGAAAGCAGAATAATGACAAAGAGACAGAAAACAAGAAAGGAAAGATTTTAAAAATTTTCTAAAGGATGAGGACAGGAGGTTCAAATACTAAGAATAAGGAAAAAACAGGCAGAGGAGACTAAAAGAAATAATTACAATTTAGGAAAATTTCCCAGAATCTAATGACATGACCTCACCAGTAGGAATAAAAGAGCATCACATACAGAACAAGATTATGAACTTTCAGAAAACCAGAAAAAGGAGAAGATTCTGCAAGGAGAGAGAGAGACAGGGACAGGACAACAGGGCAAAGGCTTTGGAATTCTGAGGAAACGTTATTTCCAACTTAGAATTCTATACCCAGCCAACCTGTCAATAAAGATTTTCTTCAGATATTCAAGGTCTCAGAAAATATACCTCCCATATACCCTTTTCTCAGGAAACTACTGGAGGCTGAGTTCTACCAAGTGATGGAGCAAACCAAGAAAGAGGAAGACATGGGATACAGAAGTGGTTGCCCCAACACAGAAGACAGGCAAAGGGGAATTCCAGGTTGGTAATCATGAAAGGAGATCCCAAGTGTGAGGCCAACCTAGTGAGAAGCCAGTCCAGACGGACAGGATAGAAAGCTACAGGGAAGCTGCTCAAGATGGACTTGACAAAATATCTATGTGTTTAGATATATTGCAAGGACATTTGTACAACTTGGATGGAGAGGGTTTTGGGGTGAGTGAAAATGACATAGAATACATAGAAAACAAAAAAGCACAGAACAGTAGGAAAAGCATCACAGTCTGTCACTGAACGGCACACACCCC